ACTTAGTGCAATTTTTAATATATATAGATAAATTATTAAGAATTTTTTTTCTCGGCTGGAGAGATGGCTCAGTGGTTAAGAGCACTTACTGCTTTTGCAGAGGACACAGGTTCGATTCCCAACACCCACTTGGCAGCTAACAACCATCTATAACTCCAGTTCCAGGGGATCCAGTTGCCTCTTCTGACCTCCATGGCCATTGCACAATACGGGTGTACCTACCTATATGCAAGCATTACACTCATACACATAAAAAAATAAATAAATAAAATATTTTTAAAAGAATTTTTTCTTTTATAAAATACATTTGTTTCATATTTATTTTACTAGTAACTAATATTAAAAAAAAGTTCAGCTTGGGCCTGGAGGGATGGCTCAGTGGTTAAGAGCACTGGAGAGGACCTGGGTTTGGCTCCCAGCACCCACATGGCTGCTGAAAACTGTCTGTAAAGCAGGTTCCAGGGGATCCAACGTCTTCTTCTGGCCTCTGCAGGCATTGTACAACATGAGTACACTTACATACATGTAGGCAAAACACTCATATACATAAAATAAAAATAGATGAAATTTAAAATATAAACATTCAAAATATTGTTGTTATCACAATTAAATAAAACATTTCCTTTAATGGCATCTTTATGATTTTTTCCTGTTGCCATGTGTAAACCTCTGACTTCATCTTTTTTGTCATGCTCATTTATGGGGGGCTATCCTAATCCCAGTATAATGTGCCAAAAACTTCATATTAACTTTGTATTACACTAACAAACCTTCAGAATTCTGGCATTTTCTATGGTTTTTACAATATACTAGTACCATTTTTTTCCTTCCAGCTTTTTTTTTTTTTTTCAATTTTATGTGTATGAGTATATTGCCTGCATGTATGTGAGTGCAACCGTGTCGTGCAATGCCATGGAGGGCTTTGGATTCCCCTGGAGCTGGATTTAAGCATGGTTCATAGCAACCATGTGGGTGTTTAGAATCGAACCCAGGTCTTCTGCAAGAGCAGTCAGTGCTCTTAACTGCTGAGCCATCTCTCCAGCCCCCTTCTAGCTTTTTGAAAAGGATATTGCTATGTAGCACAAGCTGGTCTTGAACTGGTGGTCCCTGCACCCCCACCACCCCCTTAACCTCCCCAGTGCTGGATTATAGGTATGCATTAGGTCCACAGATTAACCAGCACTCTTTTGTGTACTTGGCAAAGACTTCTTGTCTGGGGGGAAAAGACTCACTCTGGTAACAGTAGGAATGACTCCTTTCATAAGCAAATGTCCAAGCCACTGGAATGTCAGCGAGAATGAGAATTGCTATATGGAGGAATCTCTTCAGTCACAATTGGAACTGCACCACAACTGATTTCACAAAATGTTACCATATGTCAACACTTAAAATAATAACCTATTTCCCACCTTTTGATTTCTGTGTAAACTTGTGGGACACTCATGAATAAAATATTTCTCCTTTTTGCCAACCCAGAAGTTTATGTTATCTTAAGCTAGAAGAAACATGAAATTTTAATTTTTAATCTGAACCATTTTCCTACTGTTTTTTCTTAGGTTTCTCCTCAGAAAAGAAAGCCAACCAGTAGAAGTGTGCATCAGCAGAGGAGAGCAGTGAGCAGTGAGTGCTCTTGGCTGTAGCTGTTTTGTGTCCTCACCACAGCTGGGCATGTTCCACTCCATAGTCTGTGCCCTGCAATGCTTTCCTTTGGCCTGGACATGGGGAAAGACTTCTGACCACTGAGATACGATATCTGTGGAACTAGTCATTCTGCAACCAAGCAGAGCTTTCCATCTCCCCAAATGAGATTTTGGCAGCTGATCACATGCCACTCCTCAGAAATCTCTTCATCTAACTGCTGTTGGAATTGCAAAGATGATCCAGGACTTAAGTGACCCCAGTTTTGGTGCTGTGACACTGCATGCTGTTTGGAATGCACAGATATTAAAGCAGGCATGGTGGCACATACTTGTAATCTCATGAGGCAGGAGGATTGCCATGAGTTCAAGGCCATTTTGGGCAGCACTGAGAGTACCAGATCAGCCAAGTTCCCATCTTAGCAAATTATTAATACTCCATATAGTACCTGGGGGAAATTTTTCCATAAGGGCAAACTTAGTTCTTCAGCAGTTTGAGTGACTAGCTATAACTAGTCATCGTTACTGAACTTGAAACTAAGTGCACTTGAATAAATGATCAAAAATATGAGTGACCCAAACTGAATAAAATGATAAACATGAAAGTATGTTTAAATACATCTTTTTTTTCTTTTTTTTTTGTCTTTTTGAGACAGGGGCTCCCTGTAGTCCCAGCTGTCCTGGAACTCACTATGTAGACCAGGCTGGCCTTGAAGTCATAGAGATCTGCCTGCCTCTGCCTCCCAAATGCTGGGATTAAAGGCATGCATCATTTTTAAGACTCTGAGAAACTGTGTCTTTTCCCTTTAGGTAAAATGGATTATAAAAGAAAGGTAAAGTCCCAAAGGGGTCTTGACAGCTTGGCTTTGTCCATATGCCATTAGAAAGTACTTCCAAATCCATGGATTTCTGCTTCAGCTTTATCATTTTGTGAATTTGAGCAATGATTTATGAAGAACAGAACTGACTTTGTGAAGCAATTATACTGAAATATTGAAAACGATATGTACCTGAATTTTAATGCAGTTGAATTGCCAAGTGACCTGGCAAATGTCTTAAAGTTAAGCAATTTTAAAAACAGTAAGTCCACCCATTTCTGTAGGATTCTGCTAGCATTAATACAAGCTTCTCTGAGGATGAATGTACATGACAAGGCTGTGAGAGCCACAAATATCTGTGCTTCTAGATGAACCTAAATAAAACGAGGCACATCCACAGCATATGCAAATAAAACAACTATCTGGCTTCAGCTTCCAAAATTGTGCCGCCTGTTCTAACTCAAATTATTTTTGCTTCAGTTTGTGGGTACACGTTGCATAATGGGAAGGTGAGAGAGACTGAGGAAAAGGAATATTTCCAGCTTCGGCCTTTGTCTGCTCTGGGATATAACTTGAGAAAAGCAAGCATGGTTCTCTTGCATTAGTTTCCTAATCCTTTGTTTTTACAGAGTCATCCTGGCCCATCACTCTAGTTTTAGTCAGTCAGGAAAACAAGTCCGTGAACCAACATGTGCTCACAGAATTTAAAAAATGTGCACACTAGAAAATACTCTTTAAAGGACAATAATGTCTACTCAAGGTCTCTTAAGCAGCAGTGGGTAGATAGCTTAACTGTTCATACTGACTTCATCCTATTACAAATGAAAAAGGTGCCGGACACTGGGAAGCCTGCATTAATGTTCATCTAGTAGGAGAAACACCCCGGTTAAGTAAGTACCAGTTTCAGCTTTTCTCCCAGTGAGAGACTACAGAGGAGGGAAATCACAGCTATTTCCACCGCGCTGGCCTGAGAGCCCACTTGATCTTCCTGCACCTCTCTCCCCATGTCTGACGACTTCTCTGCCTGGGCTTGTTGTAGGCTCATTCCCTCTGCTGTAGCTCTATTCTCATACACGATTTGTGGGCATTGATGAGCAATAGCTGTGTCCTTTTGAAAGGAAAGGATGTCACATCGCCTGTCTTGGGTTGGAACTGTTAAAGTGCTACACTTCCGAGTTCTGGTGATCGTGGAGAATTTGATCTTATGTGAAGAGGAACATGTTTACTTTGTTTTGGTTGCAAGGTGAGCAGAAAACTGCAAGTCCCCCTGGTAACATCTGGCGCACAGGTCAGCCTTTCCTCTTCCTCCTCATGGCTTTGTTTTATTTGTTTTAGGTTTCATTTTCCATTTTCCATTATTTGGTATATTCACTAGTTCTGTCTTCAGCAAGAAAGGTGTAATTATGCCATAGTAATGGCTGATTGATCCAGGGCTCAGAGATCAGTAGTCTCCCTGGGGGCCTGTGGCAAGAAGGTGACAGAGTCTAGATTCAAAGCTGTCTGCAGCGGGGCAGCCCAGGTGTCTGGGTACCACAGCTCTACTTTCTTGGTTACCTTAGCAAGTTCTGCTTACTGTGATGGTTCATTCTACTTTTCATTAATTGCATTATAGGAACATATATTTTTTAGGAAAAATTTTTTTTAAGTTTTATTTATTCATTTTTATTTTATGTGTATGAGTGTATTGCCTGCATATATGTGAGTGCACCCGTGTCGTGCAATGCCAGCAGAGGTCAGGAGAGGGCTTGAGATTCCCCTGGAACTGGAGTTAAGGATGGTTCATAGCTGCCATGTGGGTGCTGGGAATCGAACCTGGATCTTCTGCAAGAGCAGTAAGTGCTCTTAACCTCTGAGTCATCTCTCCAGCCACCCCCAAAAAGTATTTCTATTAGAGAAAATACTATATATTGTGCGACATTTGTAAGTTACATCCTGAGTTAAGAGAAATATCTTATTTAAGTAATTATGTGGGAAAAGAAAATATTAAAGTGTACCACTTAATCCAAGTGTAAGCTTGTTATTTTTGGGTGTCAGCATTTGTGATGTAGCTCAGTCGTTTGTAGGACCAACTCCAAAAGACATATGAAGCTAGGCATGGTGGCCAATACCTTTAATCCCAACACTTGGAGGCAGAGGCAGAGGCAGGCTGATCTCTTTAAGATGGAAGCCAGTGTGGTTTACAGAGCAAGTTCCAGGCCAGCTGGGGCTATAGGGAGACCCTGTCTCAAAACACAAACCAAAAAAAAAAAAAAAAAGACATAGGATTATATATGATATATCCTAATGCAATTTTCAGTTCAATTATCATGAATGACATACCTACTTATTTTCAAATATCCCATGCTGCCTGCCTTCTGGTACTACATGTGGATAGAATCCACAGTTGGGGGAAGACAGAGCCAGCCAAGGTTCTCTCCATCTCGAGGGTCCGATTCTTCCCCTTTTTTGGTTGTTTTTGCTATTTCTTGCCCTTATGATACTAATTCCTAGAGAGAGTAAATCTAGCATTGCGTTTGCAGCCACACTATCGCCCTTCTTCTTTCTGTGCCTCAGTTTTGCTTGCATCTCAGCTACATAGCTCAAAAGAAAACAGTTGTGTCGCTGGTGAAGATTTTCTCCTACTCTGTGGGTTTTCTGTGTGTTTCCTGGGTTGTTTCTTTTGCTGTACAGGTTTTTAGTTTAAGGAGGTCCCACTTGTTTATTGTTCACCTTAATTCCTGTGCAACTGATGTTCAATTTAGAAAGTCCTTTCCTACACCTATATCGTGTAGGTTACTGCCAATGTGTTCTGCCAACAGTTTTCAGAGTTTCAGGTTTTACATTGAAGTCTTTGATCTATTTGGAGTTGACTTTTGTGCAAGGCGAAAGATGAGGGTCTAGTTTCCTTCTTCTACAGGTGGAGATCCAGTTTTGCCAGTATCATTTGTTGAAGATGCTGTATTTCCTCCATTGTGTGTTCTTGGCACTTATGTCAAATACCAGGTGACTGAAATTGCGCTTACTCATATTTGGGTCTT